ATCCTGTCAAATCAAATGAGCACTTTGCATCTTGGGCATTTGCAGCAAAACCGTGCTTGCTCAGGTCAGAGTAACTCACATCATATCTGCTGTCACACAAGCAGCCAGAGGAAAAAAACAAACAAACAAAAGAGAAATAATTGAGTTCAAACTTTAAGGATTTCAGTATTCACAGATTCTAGGTCGGCATGTATTTTAAAATGCCTTTTTAGGTAAACACACAAACCCTTGTATACACAGACTATTTAGCGACTTAATACCAAAATATACTGAACCCACAGTTTTCATAGTAAAATATTATATAAAATTAGCTAATCAAATTATTTTCAGGGGAAGGGCTCCCTTGCTCTACAAGAGAGCTTGCCCTTGTGGTATTGAATATGGAGCCTTCCTAAATGGATTACATGAAAAATAGATACCTAAGGTTGTACTTGGAATAGAATTAGCTGTATTAAATGTACAGTATTTCCTTTTTAAAAATAGGAGCATTTATAGCTCACAGGAAGATCAAGGTATCCCTGCAAATACCAGAATGTGGCCAATATCAGAGCCAAGCATTAGCTACTGCTACTGCAGGTGAAAAAATTCTTGAAAGGTCTAACTAACTGCATAGAAGATTTCCAGGGTTTCTTAGTAAATTAAATTGACTATATCCTAATAGGATATGCATTTCCTTATATCTCAACCATGTACCTAAGCTTACTTGACTCTGTGCTTGGAATATTGCCCAAGGAAACATTGGTAAATGTGTTCCTTGTGTGGTTGCCAAAATTCTGCAGACTCTTAATACATGTGCTGGAGACTTCACAAACTGTATCCTGATTAAGCAGAGGGACAGACCTGGACCTCATCACTTAGGTGACTGATAAGAGTACAAGAGTGCTGAGGGAACTGAGATAATTTTCTCCAACTTTTTCCAGAAATTTGTTATGATCCAGTTATTTCAGAAAGCCTCTAAAGACTAATAGTTTTCTTGTCCTAAGTCAAATGCAGCCCCATGAATGTTGAATCTTGTATGTTATCTTGTAGGATGATGGATTTACTATGGAAGAATTTATATATCATTTTGCTTTGTATTCTATGATTAATGCTATAATTATTTACTGGCTTGTAACCCACTTAGAGTCAGATGAATTGTAGCAGTATAAAAATATAATGCAATATAATATAAATGAGAACTCGCTTAGGAGGAAAGTGGCCTGTAAGCTGTTTGTAGCTAACAAAAAGTGAGAACAGCATAAATTTCATGAAGACTCTTAATGCTAGTCAGGAAAAGAACTTGATCTTGAAAACTAATAGTAAATTCCCAGGTAGACTTATGGTAAGCCAATTAAGACAGAATCTCTTTGAATAATTTTGTTCTATTGCAGAGGTGTCAAACTCGATTTCATTGAGGGCTGCATCAGGGTTGTGTTTGACCTCGGGGGGGCAGAGTGGGGGTAGCTGGGGTGGGCATGGCCAGTTCAATGTCACTCGTGTCGGGCACCTGTGGTGGCCCAAGTGCTGTGCCAGAGAAAGCAGGCTCCCGAGTTCTGTTTTGGGATGTGACAGCCTCCTGGAACCCTCTGCCAGTGAAAATGGACCACATGCGGCCCTCCCATGCTCCATTTTATCTGGCAGAGGCACCGCAGGCCAGTCCTTCACTGTTTCCAGGGTGGCCCCATGGGACAGATCTAAACACCCCGTCAGCCGGATCTAGCTCTTGGGCCTTGGGTTTAACACCCCTATTCTATTGCCTTTTCTTTGTCCTCTGCCTTTTCCCACAGCCTTTCATGCCTCAATGCAAGTTGGACCCTCTGGTCTTGAACTTGCTAAATCCTATGAGTGAGCTGGCTGCATGGAAACTTAATTTCATTCCTCTCCCATTTTCATTATCTCCGTAGTAGAATATGCTAGAGCAAAAGGGATGTCAATTCATCCTTCATATATTTATTTAGTGATTCAATAATTTACTCTTTCCATTTGGCAATTTATTTTCATGTATTTGTTCTATGCTGTAAGTCACTCTTGTATTCAATCTACATTAATTCAGGGCTTATCCATTCTTCGGGTTATTTCTTTTTATTTTACCATATACAATTCTGAACTGTTACATTCCCACTGAATTCCACTTAATTTTAGGTTTTGCTTGCCATCCCCAATTCTCATTTCCATTTATCAAATCAAACATAAAGCAATTGTCCCTTCCTTTAACATTTGTCCTTCCTTTTTGTACATAAAAAGACAATACACTATTCACTACATTTCTGCCAAAAGTTACAGATAATTTCTCCATCCATTTCTCCACCTTTAGTTAAAATTTTATGAAAGTACATTAAATTATCTGCTTGCTTTTTTTTGCCAGTTAAGTATAATGATTAACATCACTAATTCTATTTTTCCTGTCAAATGCTATTGTCTTGCTCTTTGGTGTATTAATTTTTAAATCCATGGCTCCTTGTTACATTATTCAATCTAACATTTGCAGCAAATCATTTGGATTCACCACTAACAATAGGGCATATACTGAATACAGATAGTCCTTGATTTATGAGAGGTTGCTTAATGACCATTTCAAGCTACAATGGATCTCCCTGGGGATAATTACAATCAAGATTCAGAGTTGCAAGAGTTGCCCACCCATGGTCATACTTTAGGCATTTGTCAACTAAACTGCATTTACATTGTTTGCATTTATTTCCAGTTTTCAGCAAAACCATGCCTATAGTGAGGATTTTTTTTATGGTACACCTTTTGACAGCCCAAGTTAATTGACCTGAAATTAATGGGTTCTTGTAATTGAATCTTGAAAGAATACCAGATTTTATTCCATTTATACCAGGTTGAATCTTGAAAGAATACCAGGTTTTATATAAATACAGTTCAGAAATTATGCTAAGCTGTTGTATGGTTGGTTTGCTTTCAATTAGCATGTCACACAGTCCTAACTGTTATGATATTGTGGCTTATGTCTTAATGCAGGGGTCCCCAACTCCCAGGCAGTGGCTTGGTATCAGGCCCCAGTCTGTTTAGAACTGGGCTATGCAAGTAGCGGGTGAGCAGTTGAGCATCCCCTCTCTCCACCCCACTCCCGCTACCACAATTGGTTCGCAAAGATGGAAAGGTTGGGGACTGCTGTCTTAATGTATTATGTGAACCCAACCAAATTTGGTTTGTTCTTGAAATTAACTAAATCAACACCTTGTGTGAACCCAGATGCATTACTGTTTGCTTTCAGCCAGAACAACGTAAAAAAAAAAGGCGAGGTGTCAGTTATGCAATCACAAGTGCTGTCTTTACATTGGTGACCTTCTTCCCTATAAGCACTCCTGCTCCCAGCTCACAGGTTGACAAAATTCTATTTCTTTTTCAAGGAATTGTTTCATTTAATCTTAGTACCTTGACTACAAATATTTCCTTCTTTAAATAGGACACTGAATAATATCACTGCAACACCAGCACTTCATAACCTTTGACTTTGTATTGGCACACATCTATTTACTTGCTTGTTGGCACTGATATTAGCTTGACTCCTATGAACATTTATTTAGGATTACATTTCAGTGGATTCAGAAGAGACATTTGAATTTTCATGATTAATAGTAAATCATCCAACTGAACAAAACAAAAACAAAATTCACATGGCATACATTAAACTATAAAAACTCTGTATTTATTTTATTTTTATTATTATTTAAGAGAAGGTCTGTAAACTGTAGGCCGTAGTTTTCTATGCACGCAAATTTAACGACTTGCTCCAGCACTAAAAGCTATTCTTTAATAAAAATGGTTAATAAATTCTGACTCTGTTCCTGAATTATCCTTTACTAATCTTGGGCCTGATTTAAACAGTATTATGTTAAATAATGGTAATGTAATATGTTACAATTCTCTGCATGTTTGCCTTTCACCCCTGTTATCCTTAGTTGTTGCTGTTTTTCCTTGTATTACACTCAAATGGCATTAGAAGTAGTACTTTGCTAACATCAGCCATTAATCTTTCAGCAACTTCTGTGATACCTGCTTTTTATAGTAATACTATTCTTACCAGGTTTGCCCAGTGCAGAGATCCCCTGCCTTTTCAGACAGCCTTTATTATGACTCATTTAAAATACCTCCCCAAAATAGTGAATGTGCATCTATTTCTTTGCCACATCACAAATAAAAAATCTTAGGTATTCATGGTGCTTTAGATTAGACTGACTTATTTGTTGCTTCAAGTGTTTACTCAGTAATTCGTTTCCAAAGAAACAGTCTATGCCAATCCTCAGATTTGTGAATAATTACCCTGTTTTCCCCGAAATAAGACATCCCCTAATAATAAGCCCAATCAGACTTTTGAGTGCATGGCAATAAGGCTAAGCGCTTATTTCAGGATTCAAAAAATTATAAGACAGGGTCTTATTTTCAGGGAACACAGTAATAATATGAAAACTCAATTTAAGTGCAAGAGTAGTCAATGTGACTTTTGTTTATATTCTATTAAAATCACTTCCAATCAATAAAACAAATAAGTAGATGGAAACCTACAAAATAATAACAAAAACAACAAACAGCAGAAGCATACTGGAAAATGGCACATTCCTGCTAAATTAGGAAAAAGGCATGAACAAAGGCAGCCAGTAAAAGTGTTTAAATTGGATTTAGAAGCAGCAGTAACCAAATTATTGAGAGAGAGAAAAATGTTCTAAAATTTGATGATCTCTCTGGGGAAGAGAAAGACTGGAACTGCACTCAAGAACACAATTCTGAATGCTTTTATTGGAAATACAATTAAAATGTTTACATATTCCCTGTTAATTTTTTTCTCTCAAGTCTATCTTTCATTATTTTCCATTTAGCCTTCTGACATGGTGTTAAAGCAATCATTGCTTCTTTATTACAAAGTAGAGAAATAACTTCTGAGAGTAGAATAAGAAAGCCATTTAGATGCACCAAATGCTATTATTATAAATGATTAGAGGCTGTCAACTTCTATTGTTTCTTCTATTTCCTTCCCTCTCAACCTTCTGCATCTGCAGGTACTTCATAGACTGGAAGAATGATATGGATAGCTACTTTACTATAGATGGAATGGAAGGAACTATTGCCACAAATGAGTTACTTGATAGAGAGAATACTGCGCAATACAATTTTTCAATAATTGCAAGTAAAGTTAGTAAGTACAATAGAAATGGGATAGATGTCATTTCGGGAATTGTCATTGTTATCTTGTTTGTCCATTTTGATGAAATTATTTGGCAAATGTCTTTGTTTTGTTTTTTTGTCTTATGAAATAGAGCATGTCGTAACACTTCATTCGGCAGATTTCCTATATTTTTGGGCAGACTCCTAGGGATCTTTTAGGAATCAGCTTCAAATAATTATATCTTTTGTCAGTCATTAGCCTCATTCACTGTAGCATGATTCCATTCTTAAGAGTTCTCAGCCCTGAAGGAGGAAAATATTGAATAAATATTGAATATTGAATAAGCAGCTAAAATTGCAGGCATGATTCCTCTTTCTCCTTTTGTGGAGCATAAAACGATAGGGTCCCTATTAGTTTTAGTGGAAGTCTGAACTTTCATTCATTGCCAGTGCCCCGTAGTGTGTCTATAATTTGGATTGATGAGTGCCACATATTTACCATCTTACTCCATGTATATAGGTTATTCATTCTCTGAGAATAGTCAAGGCCTCTGGTTTTCAGTGTAAAATAACATATGAAGTTCCAATTGCAGGTAATGAGTGGGCAGGGATAGTTTGGTATGCTTGTTAGTTACAAATCTAGTCCAAGAATAATTGTCGAAGCAACTCAACAAGCATCAACTGTTTTATCCTACTACTCACTAGAGGCATTAAAAATAGCGAAGCAAACACAGACAACCTCTTTATCTATGTCTTTATCTCTGCTTTGTTTTCCTCTAATTGGAAGTCTCTTAGACTCTGTCTTTCAGTCTGCTTCTTAAAAGAAGACATGATGTCCCTCTTTTTTCTCTTTTGCTCAATCTTGGAAGCTTGGAAAAGTAAAGTAGGCTTTGTATCAGGGCATGCAACTTCATTAATACATTTTATTTGTTCTTTTTGACCTTGAATATATGTGTCTAGAGATACATAAAAGGGTTTAATTTTCCCTCAGACACATATCATTGGCTTAACAGAAACCCCTAGAGAATGAATGGAGGAATTGTTCCTCCAAGGATTGCAAAAATCCTATTGCTTCACAAGGGAATCCACTCCCATGTGGACAATTATATGGACAGAAAGATGGAGGCTTTATGATGAAGAGAGAATGTGTCAAGGGTTAGGTGAACTGCTTTCCTTTTACACTAATGGCTTAATCCATTGTTTTCCACTCTGCATAAAGAAATCTCCCTTAATTGCAGCATTATGAGTCACCAGCTGTTTGTTTCCAGTCATATTTTAATAACTTTAAAGGCCTCTTTTTTCTTCCTTGATTATTCTGTTTAATTAAGTTTCAATAGTCTTTTTTTTTTGTCTTGTTGAAGGGGAGGGGGGGCGAATGGTATGTGACTCTACAGTACAATGATGACTCAGAAACAAGCAGGCTTCCAAGAACAATTTTCGAAGCTATTTCAGTGCCCTTGTAAGCTTGTGTAATTACTTATTAAACATTCTAAGTATGGCATGCAAAAATTAATCATAACTAAATACGCTGGAAATGGATCATGGTTATGATTAATAAAACCCACTGGTTTCAGTGGGAGTTGTTCTGAATATGTTTTGCCTGAGTCTGTAAGTAAACAAAAATCTAGTTCAAAACACCTTGATGGAGGCTCTGGTTTCATTTTTATTTGAATCTCATTGATAATAAACATTAATAGAAAATCTATATCTCGGGCATATTTTTCCTTCTCTTTATCAAATCAATTCTATATCATACTACAATATTATTTTTCTGTCCAATAAAGGGAGGTATATGCACTCATAATTTAGGGATGTGTACTACTTTGCCTTTCTTGTTTATTATTGTTTATTATTGTTTATTGGTTCGATTTATATGCCGCCCTTCTCCGGAGACTCAGGGCCGCTTACAATGCGTTAAGCAATAGCCTTCATACTATTGTATATACCTGCTTAGTACGGCTTTCAGGGGGCCCCAAGCAGTGTTCTTTTTTATACAAAGTCAGCTTATTGCCCCCACAAACCAGGTCCTCATTTTACCTACCTCAAAAGGATGGAAAGCTGAGTCAACCTGGAGCCTGGTTAGATTTGAACTTGCAGTAATTGCAGGCAGCTGGTGTTACTTAACAGCACTTTAGTCTGCTGCGCCACCAAGGCTCTTTTGTTTATGTTCCTTTATATATATATATATAAAATTTGACTATTCAATTTAAGAACATTTAAATCTTAGAAATGTTTAACGAGTCTACTATTGACTGATAACTGCCAACAAGCATCTCCAAAGGCTTAACAAAAAAATCAATATTTTTTTTTCTCAAAATCTTTTTTTATTATTTTCCATCTAGTTCCAAAATATCTGGAGGTGTTACAGTTCGATGTAAAGTTTCTGCTTCCAGTATATATATATATATATATATATATATATATATATATATATATATATATGCTAATTTTTTTATACAAGATTTGTATAAATCAAAGTTGCATGCCCTTTGATAATGAGAAAACTGGGGAAATTATTAAATAAGGAATCATATGAATTTATTTAAATCAAATTATGTAAATACATGTATATAAAATTTCATCTCATTTTTGACCTGGTTCAATTTACTCATTGCAGTGCAGTATATTGTAGTAGTCAACTCAAAATATGTTCTGCATCCCTGACAGAATTCATTTTACCTTAACAGCATATTACACCTAATTGTAACCCCTGTAGAAGCACCTGGAGACACTGAACTTGTAGCCAGACTATACTGCTGCAGTAAAATCTGAAACAAGTATTCACCCCTGATGTTTGTAGACATATACAAACTCCATCCAGCCCATCTAAGTTTGTTTTTCTCCATCAAAACCTTAATAGCCTCCAGACTCTGATTTAAACATCTACAACATCTTTAGTTTCATTTCTAAAGCTGACTTAGTGAAAGAATGATGCTCCCACATTCTTAATATGTATCACTTCCTGAAGACCAGAACCACACACCTGCCAGGAGCAGGATAGGTTTATCTCAATCATGGAAGACCTCATGCTTCTGAGTATACTGTTTATAGTGCTACCTCAATACTCATTATTATTTGGTTCTGGGAGACCCGATGAGTACCAAAAACAATGAGTATCAAACATTTTTTCCCCATAAGTAATAATGTAGTGAGTAAAAAGGCAATACCAACAAGTTCTAGCTTGTGTGTCAAGTACCCAAAATGATGAGTACTGGGACAAAATGTTCATATCAAAATTCATTAAGTATCAAATTTGATGAATTTCAAAATAGTTGAGTACCAAGGCGCCACTGTACTTCCTTAGGTTTCACAAGCTCAAAATAATCCTGGTTAAAATGCAACCAGGTTGCTTCATTTACCGCACTTGTCTCTGTTCAACAGAATAGTTGTGTGGAAGAAATGCACTTGTTTTCTTGCTTAGTTTTGATGTTCTCTGAGTTTGGTCATGTCATTGGGATTAGTACAATCTCTTTAAAAACTAAAGCAAAATCATTTAAACATTATAGTTATATATTCCAGGTATTCACTTTAAAACTGATGTGTAACTGAATTGCCTTCAGAATATATGATAGGCATATGATGAGTTTTCTCTTTGTGGAAAACTGTTTACCATTCATTGGTATATTATCTACAAAATGTGATGATAGTTTGCTTAGGTGCTGTATGTATATGGTTGCTTAATCCTAGATCCTTGGTTATTTATTGTACTCTATACAAGGAAGAATACAATTCCTGCATGAATTATACACTGTAAATGTTTATTCAGTTCCTGCAGAACAAAAACATGATAAGTGCTTTCTAATAAATATGATAAATTATCTATCTAAGTTTTCTGTGCAGTCATTATATCACTACCAGGCACAGTCCATTTTGTATGAGAGATTTACCAAATCAGTCTAAAAGGACATATCAAAAAAGATGAGCACTTCCATTTTTCATTGCTGCGTGCAATGTAATATTGCCTAGGATAGTACCAATATTTCATGGCCCCTTTTCAAATTATTTTCTTAATAGGCAATCCACTCTTGACCAGCAAAGTTAATGTCATCATAAATGTCTTGGATGTCAATGAATTTCCTCCAGAAATTACAGTACCCTATGAATCTTATGTGTGTGAAAATGCACGACTGGGACAGGTATAGTATTCTTTTTTTAAATATTAGATGTGCAGTCTATTATGTGTGGATATAATCATAAACAGTATAATGGTTAACAAACTATAAAAACTGACTTAAGAAAGCCTACTTGAAATTCTATAATTTACTGTTTTATTTATATGCTTATTAATCATTGGTTCTTACAGGCAAGTAATTTGTTTGGAAGTATATTGTCCAGTGATAAAAAAAAATGAATTTGTATATGGTCTGACTAGTTTCTCTTGGCAAATGGATAGTTTGCCCATGCGCAAAAGATATTATGCCATTTCATGTGAAAATTTTAGAATGTGCTCTCAAGATTTGAAAACGTGCTCTCACATTTTCTAAAAAAGTTGACTACTACTGATTTGCCACAACTCTAAAAAACAGGTTAGTTTATTTAAACCTATATTGCATACTGACAGCGGAGGGTAGTTGTATAATTGTTTATCTATGTTCACATAATAATTTCCCAGTAGAACTGGGAGCAACAAAAGCAATGCAAAAATCCATTGAAGGCCAGTGAAACAATGCTTCAATTTTTATTTTGACTCAGTTTTATGTTTAGTTTCGTATGCTCCTTGCAGGGAAATCCATAATCCAGAAGCTAGTGCAGAATAAATTGCCTTTTGTGTATACAGCTGATTAGGTTCTCTTAATAGAGATTGCTAAAGATAATATCCTTGATGAAGACTGCAAATTATGGGCAGTCTAGAGAAAAAAGAAAAAAAAACATTCAGATATCCTGGCTGAATAATATTTGAGGCCTTGTGGATAAAATAATAGGATATTACATTGAGTTCAGAAACAAATATAAATCTTTCAAAACTGATGTCTATAAACCACATGCCAGTGTCATTCTAACCACTATGATATGCAGTAGCTGATAAATCTATATAGAAATGTTAAAGTGCTCTTAAAAAAAAAAGCTAATTAAGACCCAGCAGATCTGTGAATATATCTCTCTTGCCAAGAGGAGGTTTAAATACCTAATCAGCTGTGGTTATAGTAGACAATTAGTTATGTAATATTTTGTCAAAAGCACTCCTATCTTTATAATTCAGAAACAGTAAAATCTGAACCAGGTTAGGCTACTGTATATCTAAGATCACCAAGTGGCCTAACTCCAGATGAAACTAACTTTATTTGACTTTGGAGCCTCAGATTATTTATTCAGAACCAGGGGTGCTTCTTCAGCAGGTTCTGGCAGTTTCTGGAGAACCGGTAACAGAAATTTTGAGTAGCTCAGAGAACCGGCAAGTACCACTTCTGGTTGGCCCCAGAGTGGGGTGGGAATGGGGATTTTGCAGTATCCTTCCCCTGGAGTGGGGTGGGAATGGAGATTTTTGCAGTATCCTTCCCCTGCCGCACCCACCAAGCCACGCCTACCAAGCCACACCACACCCACCAAGTCACGCCCACAGAATCGGTAGTAAAAACATTTGAATTCCACCACTGTTCAGAACTAATCCATTATTACATCCAGACAACAAGCTTTCACAGAAAAGGTGAGCTAGAGCTGAATATCATAAGTGATGAAAGTCAACCCAAGAATTTCAGGTTGTAGTTTAATGTAATAGGACCTCAAAATTCAGCAAAGAAAGACTGAAGCTCTTATAAAAGATACCCCAGGTCCCACAACAGACCAAAAATGCAATGAGTGATAATACAGACAGTCTGAAAGTTCTAAATGTATGTGTAGATTCTCAGTCATCCAGGTCATGATTTATATTTTTCATCAGATGTGCAGTGCATACATATTTGCCCTACCAAGTCAAAGATACCTCCTATCATATATGATAGCCCATCAAAGAATACATTAGAACCAAATAGGTTGTGTCAATTACCTTTACACAATAATATAAATTACTTTTTTGCATGGGGATCAAAGTCCTTCCAAGTCATATCAGGTTATTTTTTTGAATTTTAATGGAAAATGCATTCATTGTTCAGCAAATTAACAGTGGTCTTCAAAAGATATATTCAGCTACTATACAATGAGTCTTCAGACAACCCTGAACCTAGTTTGTGTGAGTATAAGCTGTTTACCTTAGAACCAAACCTATAAAAATATAGTTGCCTTGTCAGGTTAGGAAGAATGATAGGCTGAAATATACTCATGATGATAAAGACAACACATTTTAGCCTGTTATAGTCCGTAATTCAGTCCTGTTTTACAAGCTGTGTGAAATCAAATGTAGTGTTCCAAATCCCATAGGTTCTAATAGTTTTTTCTTGTACAAAACTGTTGCCCAAAGGACACAAGATACTCTCCTCTGTATAGACCATACATTATTTTTAAAGATCTGTTTCTGGAAACTGTATGGGATTTGTCCTTTTTATGATATTTGTTCCTGTGAAATGCTTAGAACATACAGTAGATGTGCAACAACAAATGTCCAAAACAATAAAAAGATTGGTATCAGAATGGAACATTGCCAGGCCTGAACGAAGAAGGCTGATATTCATGCCATCCCCTCTCTCTGAGAATTGAAGGAACAGGATAATCTTTTATCACATCACTAATGACTTGGAAGCCTACAAGTTTTACTACAAAAGCATTCACAAATGTTATAAGAGATGACGGACATTCAACCTCAGAAGATGAATGTAATGCCATCTAACCATGCTCCAGCCAAGTGTTAACATCTTCAGGAATTCTTTCTCCTAAGTGATATCTCTCTATAAAGGAAGAACAATAGAATAACAGAATAACAGAGTTAGAAGGGACCATGGAGGTCTTTTACTCCAACCCCTTGCTCAGGCAGGAAACCCTACACCATTTCAGACAAATGGTTCCCCAATTTCTTCTTAAAAGCTTCCAGTGTTGGAGCACCCACAACTTCTGGAGGCAAGTCATTCCACTGATTAATTATCCTGTCAGGAAATTTCTCCTTAATTCTAGGGAACAGTCACATGCAACTTATTGCTAGAGATGGATCATATTACAGAGTAATGTTCTTTGAGATGGACAGCCATGCATGTACATCTGCTTAATAAATATTATAATGTTAGGCTACATCGGCTGGTCTTGCCCAGCTCGTTAAGATAACCACATTTCAGCTTAGGGTTAATATCTCATTCTCTACTTCTATTGCATTATCTAACTATCAAATCAAGATCTTGTTTTATTTTCATACAATTTTTTTTTATTCCATTGTGGGTTTAGGTAATTCAGGTTATTGGTGCAGCAGACAAGGATTTGTCTCCTGCTGGGCAAAAATTCTCTTTTCGACTGTCTCCTGAAGTTACTACAAAGCCAAATTTCACAGTCCACGATTTCACAAGTAAGATGGTTTATACTTCAATTATGGAACTAGTTTGTTCTGTCAGTCCTTTGCCTACTGTTTTTTATTTAGATATGTGAAGATGAATTATTTCAAAGTGTAATTGTTTCTTAGATGCTGAGCAAAAATAAAGAGTTGTTTTATATAAATGAAATGCTTTGCAGGATGACTTCAGTTCTAGTCAGCATTTCTAAAGTTAGCAGTTGGGTTACAGAAATGATTTTCCCTATACTATGAGAAGCTGCAGGCTAATATAATATGTATGATGCACTGTTGGGTATGAGAAGAATCTTTTTCAGGAAGAAGGACAATTTTGGCAATTCCCTTGAATGTTCCACAGTGGATTAGGCTGCAGGAATAACCTTGAGAAGCAGGAGGAAGAGCTGCAACCAAGACAATAGTTAGATAAGCAAAATTTGGGTCTCAGGCAGAAATATAATTTGAGGAAGATCTTATTAGGCTTTACTCTCCCATAATTCTCTTAAAGATGGAGGGAGGGAAAAGGCACACTCAGACTGGAAAAATTCTGTTATGGTAACCTTATAATAAAATTAGTATTATCATTCATAACTTTGGTTTCTAGTCTGGTTTACCTCAAAGGTTTACCACAAAGGGCTGACCTATCTGGTTTACCTCAAAGGCCCCATCCACAGTACTGTAAAAGAACCAGACAGCTCATTTTTTCTCTTCTAGTCATTCTAGGCAATAAAACTAGTAAGTTTAAACATAATACCAATAATTATTTTAGAATTGTGAGTTTTCTGAATACCCCTGATTCTTGAACCTTTGGTTTCAATTGATATAGCAACAAAAATGGACATAGGATACAGTGAGAAGAAAGTTGGGAAGAGAATTCACCTGAGTTTTATCCCTTTCCTTCTCAGAATCTTCAAAAAAGGCAATAGCACATATATTGATCATGAAAGAATGATAGTGACAATGGCAGAAATTGCCCACAGAGTATGGGTGTCTATTGAAGCTTCCTGCTTTCATCAAAATGATGCAAATAGCATTACATCACCTCTTCGGGGTGTGTATACATCTTGAATCCAGAATCAGAAAAAGGAAACACAGACAATGTTTATTATCCCAATTATCCATTGGGATTAGAGCACTGTTTCTCAAGCTGTTGGCTATAGAACTCTGGGAGTTGATACCCACATATCTTAAATGTGCTTAGGTTGAGAAACACTGGATTAGAGGATAGGTCAGATCCTGACATTGCAAGCTGGGTCCAATTAGAATATACTATACAGAGGAAACAGTCTTGTAACAGTAGTTACAAGGAGGAACAATTGTTGTTTATCTAACCCTTTCACTACTAATTCTGTAAAAAAGCAGACAGGCTTTGCCAGAAGCCTGCATCAATTCTAGCTTTCCTGGGTTCTGAGTATAGCTGAAGTGGAAGAAAAAACAATTTGATTTAGAATGAAGAATTTGCTGGAAAAAGCCATGGGAAATTAAGAAATGAATTTAATAGAAATTAGTATATTTTCAATCTGTTCTTTCTTTTTTATCTCTCAACCCTCAACCACCAATTTTTGTGGTGGATGCTACAAAAATTTCAGTTTGCTTCTCTGTGATTCTTTTATTATTATTATTTTTACCAAGAAAGTTATTTTATTTTTTAATGGTTTTAATTATACCATTGTTATCTCTAAGCCCACTACAATGCAACCCCAAGTATTCTGTGTTTCTGTTCCCTAGAGAAGAAATGGCAGCAAGGAATATGAGGACACATATGAGGAGACAGATGAATTACTCACAAACCTGACCTTGAATTCTCAAATAGCTTTCTTAATTTTAACCAGATTTGTGATATTTAATGTGTATTGATAAATTAATTTGATTTATCCTTTTGTATGTGCTTACTGGCTTACACTTTCTTAATTAATGAAGAATCTTTTCATTTCTATATTTCTTATTTCAAACAATTAATTTACTAAAAGTGCCATAGGTTTGCCTATGATGCATGCATGCATGCCAGAGATGGCACACAGAGCCCTCTCTGTGGGCACACGCGCCATCGCCAGCTGCTCTTCTGGTTCTTGGGTTTCCAGCATGCGCATGCTGGTCTTTGCGCGCGATGGAATGCTGGAAATCTGCTGGTCTTCATGCGGCATTTCTGGCACATGAAGACCAGTTGGCTGGAGCACATGCACATGCCAAAAACCCAAAGACCAGGTGGCCAGCGCATGCATGTGCCCTGACCAGCTGGTTTTTGAGTTTCCGGCGCTTTGCAACCCAAGCGCGCACATGTTCCAGTTTAGGTACTTGGTGCTGAAAAGGTTCGTCATCACTGGTATATACATTACTCATTGAAAAAAATAGGTACAGTATTTATGTACTGAAAAATGCTATATGAAAATCACAATGCACTAATGGCCTGTAGCATGTCAAGTCAAGTTACTTGTGAGAATTTTCTTAAATAACTTTACATGGATGGGGGAAATCTTATACCTTTTGAAAAATGTGCCTCCAGTGGAAATTAACCAAATAAAGAAAGAAGCCATTATTTTTTTATTCCCTATAAAGCACTAAGTGGAAATCATTTGAAAAGCAGACTTGGTAGGGTGAGGAAACAAGAAACAGGAAAAAGGTGGCATTCTTCCTTCTTGTGGTAGTTTGGCTTTTCTTATTTTTACTATTCTCTGACAAGCTTGCTGTCAAACTGAGATGGATTGTATAGCAAGAGTTACAATAATTGTTATTTGCCTGGGGAAGAACGGGATAGTTGCATTATTTTCTGTCTTGTTTCAATGCGACACTTTGGATAATGATACAGTGGAGGACTCCTGTTAAAACACAGATGAGATTGACATCAGCTCTGAATCTCCTCCTCTTCTTTCCCTCCCCTTTAATGTTTAATAATGTAAAATGTATGACATGAAGGTCTCCCAGGGCAAATTTCCACCTTATTTAGTTGTTGCTCATAGAGAAAGAAACTTGCAACCTCTTAACATGACATCTAGTTCTAGGCCAAAAATATCTTTGTTATTTTTTGTTAACCATTTTCCTTCATTTTACTGGAAAGGAAATGTATTTCTTTAAAGAGAAAGAGAGAGAAGGCAAAGGAAGATTTTAGAGCAGTGGCCCCAAACCTTTTGGGCACCATGGACCGATTCCATGGAGAACGTTTTTTCCATGGACTGGGGGGGCATGGTTTTGCATGCTACCTGCATCCCGTTGCTGAGTTGCTGGCATACCGTAGACCAGTTCTAGTCCATGGACCAGGGGCTGGGGACCTCTGCTTTAGATTATTCTTTAGATTATTCTGTACCATCCAAGGTTTTCCACATGTCACTTATATTTCTAAGGAAATGTCATGTGGAAAATCTTCATTGTGAGCCTTTCAAATTGGGATGCTGAGGAAGGCAACAAAATAATGAGAAGATGAATATTAAAAAATTGACATGAATTGTACCTTTCAGCGCTTTGCAATAAAATAATAATAAAACAACATCCCTATTAAAGTTTCTGGGAAGGGGGAACCATTCAACTACCCCCCCCTTTTATTTAGCACAAGACCACAAGAATAATTTGGCCCAGGATAAATCACCTTATTTGTTGTGTGATGCTGGAGGTTAGTGAAATAGAGAAAAGGCAAGGCTACTGCATTGCTGACAATTACATGTGAGCCATAATGTTTTAGGCCATTCTCCAGAGCTTTTATTTATTTATTTCCTGCATTTTCACAAGAAATTGTGCTCAGTGCCATTTCTGAGCCATGATGATAATGAGAACAGTAACTCAATCCTGTTTTTCAGACAACACAGCAGGAATTGTAGCTGGCAGAAGTGGTTACAGCCGTCGACAGCAAGAGTTCTATCTCCTTCCAATTGTCATTGAAGATAGTAGCTACCCCAAACAAAGCAGTACAAACACAATGACAATCCGAGTTTGCAGATGTGACTCTGATGGCTCCGTCCTCTCATGTAATGCTGAAGCAATATTCTTGCCTGTTGGACTCAGCACGGGAGCATTGATTGCAATCCTGTTGTGTATTATTATACTCCTAGGTTAGTACTCACCTATTTGCATAAAGTAAAATGTGTTACCATAGATATTTGGAGACTTTCCCCCCCCCCCAAATGGAATAACTGCCAGTTGGGCCAAATGAAAAGGTTAGCTGGATACAAACTACTGCTTTTCACCCATTTCCAATTGTGGTCAGTAATTTCATCAAGCAAAGCCCTGATCAGTGGTTTGAATGTAGCCCTACTTTGAAATTTGGGAATATCGCAATAGGAAATTCAATAAGCATTTTCAAATCTTATTGAAACATTGTAAAGATGAATCCTACACATATGATAACCACATTGAATGATGAAGACTCATCTTCCTTGATGAGTCCTTAAATTTTAATTTAAATAAACATCTATCATCAAGAAAAGACACACATTTACCCTGAACAAATTCCCTTTCCTCCTTTTTTATTATAATATGTAAGATTGTATAAAATATAAGATAACATTGAAATAGGGCTATAATAGTGAGCTAAAATAGTCTGGGCAACCTTTAAGTAGTTGGGCTAGCATTTTCTTCTTTTGTTAGAGTTTTTCTTTTGAGTTCTACACTAATTTCTTTTTAAGTCTATACTCAAGTGTATACTATTTTATATAATTTCTAAAAAAAATGGCATTAGTTAAATGTGATCAATAATCACATAAGCATTGATGAGTAGTATTTTGGATGCACTCACTAGGTCCATCTGATGATGATTATTCTGACCTTCACACATAGAGAAGAGTCAAGGAGATGTATTTAATTTAAAAAATGGAGGTGAAATATTAGGAAGGAAGGACAGGGAAATTTCAGAGAAGCTGAGGGGGGTCATTTCTTCACGCAGGAGATAATGCAAACACTCACCTTCCATTCATTGCTTTTGTACAGATGGTCTGAAGCTTTGTGCAGGATACAGGAAAGAAATCTGGATATTTTAGAACTGATGGTGGAAAGTTTGGTAATATCTTTGGCAATGTCATTGCTTGCTTGTGTATATGACAGCTGATCTATTAGCCAGTGCTGTCGTTCTTGCCTGAAAACAAGCCTCTTTAAAATCCATGGCACTTGCCCTCTAATAAACCATAAGTCATAGGGATCATTATGACTTTGTAAGATGATATGGTCTAGTAAGCCTTCTCAGTTTTCCAACCTCTTATCCAGTCTTTTAGGTATAGGTAATGCAAATGTTTAAAGAAAGTTTAAAAGATTCTGCAACGGCTATTGAAACAAAAAAGTCTCTGTTTAAGAGACTGTACAAGAGTCTAACACTAAATTAGGCAAGGGTCTGTTAGTCTCCTTCAGTGCTTGATGGAGAAATCTCCAGTATTACTTCTCTGATAGTGAAGACAGAACATCAAAGAAGTATCCCATATGTATGTCAGAAATACAGCAAAGCTAAAAGATTCTATACCTACTCCACATATTCCCATCACATGTTCCAGAAAAGAATCAAGAACACTTCTTGTCTTGAAGTGGCATAATTAATTGGGCCTCAGTTTGCATGAATAGGAAAAAAGAAAAAATTTCCCTCAAAATTTAAATATTCCTTCAACATTTCACTCTGGAGAGGGAATCCACTGGATTGAGTTCATGGTGGTTCCTCCATTGTGGATTCTGCTCTTTCTCTAATGGGTTTGCTCAAAGTAACAGAGCAAGCAGCTCATTAATTTATGCCATTTTATTGGCTAAGCATAAAACTATTTCCTTTGAGAAAATGTCTCTTGGCTGTTAATGTTTATTACAAAGTTTCTGAGACCCAAAATAGCAGTAAAGCTTTTTGTCTCCTAAAGAAAAGCAGTGACCTTCTACTACACTAATTCAGATCCTTATGAGAATTTCTTCCAACACATTAAAAACAGCAGGAATACCCCCCCCCCGACACACTTTGTGGTGTGTGTGTGTGTGTGTGTGTGTGTGTGTGTGTGTAAGGTGCAAAATAGAGGTGCGTTTTTCAGATAGCATTAGCAGTGAGACTGTTTCCCATCCTGGTACCATAGATCGAAAAATATTTAGAACTGGAGCAGTCAGATCTTAGATCATAGAAAGTAATGTGAAGTTGACTGATAAAAGCCACTTCTTTCCCTAATTGACTTCTGGTTTTCTCTCTTGTCTTAGTTATTGTGGTTCTTTATGTGGCCTTGAGACGGCAGAAGAAAAAAGACACCCTAATGACCTCAAAGGAAGATGTTCGAGACAATGTCATTCATTATGATGATGAAGGAGGGGGTGAAGAAGACACTCAGGCCTTTGACATTGGGGCTTTAAGGAATCCCAAAGGAATCGAAGATAACAAAATACGCAGGGATATTAAGCCAGATGCTCTCCGCTTGCCTCGCTCAAAACCACCCACAGAGGACAACACAAATATTAGAGATTTCATAAATCAAAGGCTGAGAGAAAATGACGGAGATCCATTAGCTCCCCCTTATGATTCACTAGCAACTTATGCTTACGAAGGAAATGGATCTGTAGCTGAATCTCTCAGCTCTATAGATTCTGTTGCAACAGAAGCAGATCAGGATTATGACTATTTGAGTGACTGGGGACCACGCTTTAAAGTCTTAGCAGAGATGTTTGGAGAAGAAGAAAGTTATAATCCAGATAAAGTCACTTAGCTGGAGGTGGAGGAGGACCATGAAGGAAAAGTAAACCCACTAGTTTTACACACAAAAAAACCAAGCTTTATAGAACAAGTTTCATTGATTATAAGAGACAAAAGCTGTTTTCAGCAAGTTCCTTTATTTATCATACCACGGATCTTGGTTTACTATTTTTGAGGGAAAGAATGTTCTTTGACTATTTTTTTTGTTATTGTTGTTGTTGTTTTGATGGTGGTGGCTGGGTTAATTTAATTTAATTTTTTTAACTTTATTACTTTGAAGTCACACTGAGATTGTCTTGGGCCTATTAGCTACAATTTATCGATACATCAAACAGAAAGTATAGCTTTCCGGCATTGTGGTGGAAGAGTGGTAGATTTTTCTTAATTCCACTGAAGTGCCTATTGAAACTCTTACCAGTAAAGTGGAAATAACCGCAGCAACAGAATTAAGGAAAAACAGGATAAAAGAAAGGACATTAACTTTTATCTGGAGACACAAAAGACACCTGCTGACTGCTGATTCTTTTAAAACATACAGTGTAGAAGAGAGAGTAGAATCTGTCAGTGGCTGAAACTTGTTGAGGTAAATGTCAGGTTTGTTTTGGGAGGGGTTGTTTTGTTTCATGTTTTTTTAAAAAAAAAACCAAGAAAACAAACTGTCTGATAGGACAACGTCTTTCTTATGCTTACATTTCAGAGAGAAAATTTTTGAAAAAGCTAGTATTCCAATTGAAGTTGTAAGATCCAGTCTTAAACTGAAATAATGAATATTTAAAATGTTTATCAAATGTTATTCTTTTTTCCCCCCAAGAATTAAAAAATGAGATACAGAAGTATGCATAGACATATGTGTTGCCTAATTAGTTGGTGCGCTTATTGTACAAGGTTCCTCTTAATCAGAGGAAAGCTGTTGTGTGGCATTTGATAGAGGGGATTATTTGACCATCTCAAGTGATATGCTGGCTATATTTTTGTTCTTCCTTTTGTTTTGTTTTTTATTTTTATCAATCTAGTAAATTGGTGAAATTGTACATATAAAATAATGTATTTCACATTTGTTTTCTACAGCAGAAAAAAACCCCCACCTTCTTCATTTCTCCCCATTTATTATTCTGATGCTCATTAATAGTTCTGGTCATAAGAAACAATGAAATAATATAATTAGGGTCCCTAAACAGGTTTCAGTCATGACTTCCCTTTTCGGAAATATGAATTAAACCTTAGAAATATCTGCGTAAGAATAGCATGAATCATAATATGAGTATTACTTATTTTTTTTTAATTCTTGGTTTAACAGAACTTGACATCATTAGACAGCCTTATTGGTCTTAATTATAGCAATAGCAATAGCACTTAGACTTATATATGGCTTCACAGTGCTTTACAGCCCTCTCTAAGTGGTTTACAGAGTCAGCATATTGCCCCCAACAATCTGGGTCCTTATTTTACTGACCTCGGAAGGATGGAAAGCTGAATCAACCTTGAGCCTGGTGAGATTTGATCTGCCAAACTGCTGGCAGCCGGTGATCAGCAGAAGTAACCTGCAGTACTGCACTCTAACCACTGTGCCACCGCGACTCATTATAATTATATTCTTGAGGTTATCCTTGTTTGACACACTAGTACAAAAAATAGACAGATTGTCTATTATTTGCTGGGTTAAACTTAAATCACTCAAGCATTTAATTATAAAATAGATAAACAACATGATTCAAATTTTTATACCAAATGATAAGTATATAGGGAAAAGTTGCAAAAATGTCAACATGGGATAACTGCACATTCATAGAGAAATGTATAGCTTTTTTCCCCCTGCAGCCTTAAAAAAATAAAAAAAAAATTCATGAACTGATTCAGATACCAGACAGAATGAACCCAAAAAAGTTATACAAATGAACACTTCAGCAAAAATAAATAAATCCTGCCATCCTTAACACTACCAGAGAATGGATAATAGATATATGTACTAATGGCAAGATGTGCACATGGACGGACCCACATTGCTTCAGTCTTAAATCAGGGTCTGCCTCATTACATGGCTAAAGCAATCCAAGGTACTGTCTAGGCATCCTTTCGAGCAGCATGAGAAAAAATCTATAGATTAGAACAAAGTAAAACATCTTTTAAATTTAGGAATTAAATAAAATCATAAATCACAGGGATAAAATACAGAGAAGGAAATGGCTTACACTTTCCACACATTTCTAAAGACTCTGGATTCCCTAGAAGTAAATCCGCTGGTTCCAAGAAATCAAGAATGTGATAACAAAATTGCTGATCATGGGGGAGCTTCAGAGGTGGTATTCAGCCACTTTGGAGCGGCAACTGTGGGTCAACCTGCCCACCCACCCCGGCGTAATGCCATCCTATTTAGCCACGTTTTCGAGGCCGGGTGCATGCACAGCGAACTGGTGGTAAGAATATTGGAAACCCACTGCTGAGGAGCTTCATTATGCAGTTATTTCCTACAGAGGAATTTGGAATGAACCACTGCTTTAAAATTGGCAATCAGTGTTCTCCCTTTTAAACTCTCCCCACTTATAATAAGCAAAAGACTATAAAGTCTGGATTGGAAAGTCCCTGATAACTAAATTTCATCTATTAAAGTATGGCAAATGTAGGAGTTCAGGGCATAAAGGAGGATTGTGATTACATAAGGAGTTGATAAAAATTCCTTCATTTATAGTACATTTATTCTTTGCCTCTTCCAAGCACCTCACTGAGATGTAGGTGCCTTCTCCTTTTCCTGTGTTCTACCTAGTCTAGAGATAAGTCCAGCTGTGATTTTGCAATCCATAGATTTGAGGAAGGTGCAGGAATTCAGGATCTTAAGTAGTAATGAAGTACTCAAACGTACACCTAGCACACAGAGAAATTATCTGTTAATTTACAAAAACTGGATTATTTGTAATACCACGTGTGAAAAATGCACATACTCATACACCCTGCTATACTCTGACCAAGAACAGAGAGTAGGCAGGACTAGAGGTTTATAGATAGCCATTACACATACAAATTGAGAGTCTACCAAAAGAAATATCACAGTATACAGCTTCTCCTTTTATTCTTCTTCAGCAGTGTCCATCACATTCCTTTGTTCCTTTCTATTTCATTACTCTTTGGTTGACCTGTTAAGTTGCTGAATCAAAGGGGATTTGCAGCCTGGCATTTAAATTTGATTGTATCCTTTAGTCCTTCTCTGATCTTATTTCCCTGTGACCTGCTCCATAATAATTCATACCTAAATAGCTCTAAAATCCATGCACAATGTCATAGTTCCATCTTTTGTTTTGAATAGGACTGGGGCTGCGACCCATGGTTTGCTGGCTCGATGAGCTCCCTTGCTAGCCTCAGTCTGCGGATGCTCCCTTGCCACCAGATGGTCGGTGCCCACTTGTCTAGCCAGGAGTATGACTGTGTCTGTCATTTTGGGGGCTATTACGAATCAAATTACTTCCCAGTGATTTGCTAGCTCTCGCCTCATTGGTTCGGTCAGATGGGGGCATAGGCTTCCCCCAATAGGGACCCATTGATCTGATCGAATCAGATTGGGTGGGCCAGTATACTTGGTAATCAGAACCTGGTCTAGTGTCTTCCTTTATTCTGCATCCCAGTCTGCACATTTTTAAGGTTCAAATTCAATTAATCTATTTGTCCTAATATTTTCTTCTTTTTTTACTTCTGGTTTATTAAAACATTTTTAAAAATAGAATAAACAACCACAAAAATAATTCCTCATATAAGAGTATAATATGTGGACAAACTACTGTCTCTGTGCCTCTACAGCTGCAAGAAGACCACCGGACTCCTTTGCTAATCTTATTTCTCCAATTTCTCATGCTCCTTCTTCCTGATATTGTGGTCACTTGGCATAGCTACATCTATCATAACAGCTGTCTTCTGCTCTTTGTCTACTATCATGATGTCTGATTGGTTGGCCAGTACCTGCCTGTCTGACTGGATCTGGAAATCCCATAGGACCTTAATCCCCTTATTTTCCACAACCTTCTGTGGGATCTCCCATCTACACTTAGGAGACTCTAGCCCATATTCTCTATAGATATTCCTGTACACAATGCCTGCTTCTTGGTTGTGCTGTTCAGTGTATGCTGTTTCTGCTTGTATCTTACATACTGCCACTATGTGTTGGATTGTCTCTGAGGCCTCTTTGCACAGTCTGCATCTTGGGTCCTATCTAGTGTTGTCCACCCCAGCTTTATGGATCTGGTGCTTAGCGCCTATGTGTTGCTATGATCAGTACCTCAATGCTGTCTTTCAATCCAGCCCTTTCCATCCACTGATAGGATTTCACAATATCTGTCACTTTAGCTAACTGTTGATGGTACATCCCATGCAGGGTATTGTCTTGCCATGCCACTCTGTCTGCTTGATCTTTCTTCCACATCTGTTGCTACCTCAGGCATTCTCTCAGTAGCACAACTTTGGGTGCCATCTATGTCCAGAGCACTGAAGGCAGAACAAGAAGCAACAAATGGAAACTAATCAAGGAAAGAACCAACCTAGAAATCAGGATAAATTCCCTGACAGTTAGAACAATTAATCAGTGGAATGGCTTGCCTTCAGAAGTTATGGGTGCTCCATTCCTGGAGGTTTTTAAGAAGAGATTGAACAACGCTTCGTCTGAAATGGTTTAGGATCTCTTGCTTGAGTAGGGGGTTGAACTAGAAGCTCTTCCCTTCCAACTCTATTATTCTCTTTCTTCCATATGTCCTTTCAGTACTGTTAAGTTTCTTCTGTTATTGTGATATTCCACTGCAACAGGGAATACACCTGGGATAGTTCTTTGAAAAACAGGATATTTATAGGTGGACAGGACAAGATATATATGTGTGTCTGTCTCTGTCTGTATTTGTGTGTCTGTGTTATTTAAAAAATTCACTTAAATAAAAGATGAAATTATATAGAATTAGAAAGAAAAATAAAATAAAAAGCAGAAGGACATTGCAAGCAGAAAAAGAAAGGATATACAAAAAAGCAACTTCCAAACTTCTTTACAGCAGTTACAAACTAGCTCATTACCTCTTCTCCCTCTTTAACGTTACAACGTGGTTCTCTTCTTTCCATATTCAGCCTATTTTAATCAGTAAATCCATAAAACACCAATTCATTTGTCCCCCTTTCAGCAAAAATATATCTCAAAGAGGTTTCCAGGGTTTTATAAAAGTATTTGCTGTTGTATCCCTAATCAGACAGGTCAACTTTGCCATTTTGTCAAGTTCCGCCACCTTCATGATCCATTCCTCCACTGTGGATATTTCAGTATTTTTCTATCTTTGTGCATATAATAGTCTTGTTGATTCAGCTTAATTTAATAACCGAGGTATAGTCAGATGTTATGTACATCCCTTCTAAATAGTGAAATGGAAAGATGCAGAAACATGGGAAAGGATTTTCATTGTTATAATGAAAGGTGAAAAGTACAGGTGAATAAATTGTTATAACCTGTAGCTGAAACAATTTTAATTGCTTCAAATTAAACCCAATTATACAAGTGCATTTTCCACTCTTCTACTGCCGAGATCTGAAGAGACTTGTACTATTTGATAGCTCTCTGGAGACAGTGTGATTGGGATTGTGCTGCTTTGACCTCATTAGGCACATGCTGCTTTGTGCTAGTTGTTGTGTCATGCTTTGCAACCGCTCTTGGAACATGGCCATCTTTTGTCGTTTTTCTGATTAATTTTGGCTCAATTTTTCTTGTGTTAGACAAGGATAAGTGATACTGCCTTGAGCTATTTGAAGAAAGACCGCAATAAAAATGTAATAATGAAGGAGAAAAGGAAAAGATAAACTGGTAATAAATATTATTAGATAAATTTGAGAT